TTATTTAATGTGATCAGATAAAGTTATTTATTATCACTGCAAGCCAGGAAGTGATTTATCAAGTTGTCAGCTAAGAATCATAACCAGACCAAGGCTTCATGTCACCAGGTTCTGCTCCTTACCGGGTCAGTGTTGAGGCATCACTCGTCTTTCTGGGGTTCTGCTGGGGGGTCAGACCAGGATACACCATGAAGAGGACTCACCGAGAACTGGCCAAAGGTAGTTCCATCCTCCAGCTGTCCAGTGCTAGCGTTAGCAGCATCCTCCATAAATGAGGAAGGATGGCAGTAGACTTGATCCTTCTTCCAGATTATTGTTTTTTTGTTGGTGCAGTCTGCTTCCAAAAAAATCCTCCTGCTCCGATTCCATTCGAGGCAATTTGGGTGAGAGAAAACGGTCCATTTTTGCATTTCGTGCACTTTTCAAATGTTTACCGAACTTTCAGTAACTTGAATTTTCACTTCTGGTTCGAGGTTCATTTCCTGTTGTGAGATCGATTTTGTTTTAAACTCAATATAATCATTGATTGTTTTTTGAAATTAGTTGTGCTTTGCGAGGAAAATATCACAACAACCACATATTAAAGAATATGAACTTAGATGAAAAAGAAAAAAGTCTTATACTTCCTTGGGGGTGCTAAGGGGGTGCTTTGACTTTTCCAGGGGAGCTATAGCACCCCTAAGCTCCCCCCTGGAGCCGCCTATGGCTGCTAAATACCACGTGTGTTGTTTATATACAGAAACCGAAAATAGGTAAAAAATGGCAATGCCAGGTAAAAAACTGTTTGGGACAGAGATCATTTTAAACGTTATTTAATGTTTAAACATATTTATGGTCAGATTTGTTGAGTAAAGTAAGGAGTTAAAGTGATTTGTTTGCCTGCATTTCAGAATTGTATATAAATGTAAAACTGCAGATATAAACTCATTTGATGTCCTTCGCTATTTGGCGGTTCGACGTTGGTGGACTCGCACTTTTGCAGTTTTTCAAAGTAAGATTGTACACGAGAAAAAAAATTGTACACAACACGATTGTCAACTTTATGACTCACGTGATTGGGACAATACTGGATACTGTACAGTAAAAAGTTAACGAAAAAGTAAAATACTTTGGACAGGTGCTGCCAATTTGTAGTTTTCTCTCAATAAGCCTACACTGTATTCCTGCTCATAAGGACTACATTTCCCAGAAGCCAACAGTGCCCCGCCCATAAGCCTTGATCCCTTCTGCTGAATTACTAGAGGAAAAGTTTTGATCTGATTGGAAAAATTCGGTCCTTATTCATACAGTGACTTGGGCGCCCAGCGGATGCAGAGAGCCGCACTGACCCCACCGGAATCCGGACCGGAACTGGACCTCCAGACTCATCGTCAATCTGAGAGCTGCTAGCCGGTCCACGAGGACCTCCGATCGGGGTGGCGCCGCCGTAGGTCTGGCGCCGCCGTAGGTCTGGCGTCTTCTCTGGAGCTCACCAGGACTCTTTGTATGGACTCAATTGGACCACCCTCTGGTCCCGTGCTGGCCATCTGAAAGTCCGGCTCCCTCCAAAATGCGGTTCGGTGCTCAAGGGATGCACAGAACTAGACCAGAACCGGCAGGGTAGGTCTGCAGAAACAGAACCGAGTCGGACCAGAACCGAGCTGCTGCTGTTCTGCAGAGACTGGTCAGTAAAATTCAGCTGCTACATATACATTACTGTACGTATGTTGTGAAAATGACATAGGTTTAAGGGTTTAGAACATTGCAAGAGTGTGGGAAGGGTTTCTAAAGCCTTAAAATATACAGTATATAAATACTAAAGTACCCCGATGATGAGAAAAACAAATGGACTTAATGTTCCCTTGCCCGGACGTGGGTCACCGGGGCCCCACTCTGGAGCCAGGCCAGGAGGTGGGGCACGCGGGCGAGTGCCTGGTGGCCGGGCTTTTACCCATGGAGATTGGCCGGGCACAGCCCAAAGAGGAGACGTGGGTCCCCCTTCCCATGGGCTCACCACCTGTGGGAGGGGCCAAAGGGGTCAGGTACAATGTGGGATGGGTGGTGGCCGAGGGCGGGGACCCTGTCGGTCTGATCCTCAGCTACAGAAGCTGGCTATCGGGACGTGGAATGTCACCTCACTGGTGGGGAATGAGCCTGAGCTAGTGTATGAGGCTGAGAGGTTCCGGCTAGAAATAGTCGGACTCACCTCTACGCATGGCTCTGGAACCAGTTTCCTTGAGAGGGGTTGGACACTCTTCCACTCTGGAGTTGCCCCTGGTGAGAGGCGCCAAGCAGGAGTGGGTATACTTATTGCCCCCCAACTTGGTGCCTGTGTGTTGGGGTTCACCCCGGTGAATGAGAGGGTGGCCTCCCTCTGCCTACGTGTGGGGGGACAGGTTCTGACTGTCGTTTGTGCTTATGCACCAAACGGCAGTTCAGATTATCCACCCTTTTTGGAGTCCTTGGAGGGGCTACTGGAAAGTGCACCTCCTGGGGACTCCCTTGTTCTGCTGGGGGACTTCAATGCTCACGTGGGCAATGACAGTGAGACCTGGAGGGGTGTGGTTGGGAGGAATGGCCCCCCTGATCTGAACCCGAGTGGTGTTCTGTTGTTGGACGTCTGTGCTCGTCATGGATTGTCAATAACGAACATCATGTTCAAGCATAAGGGTGTCCATATGTGCTCTTTGCACCAGGACACCCTAGGCCGCAGTTCGATGATCGACTTTGTCATCATCTCATCTGATCTGCGGCCACATGTCTTGGACACTCAGGTGAAGAGAGGGGCGGAGCTGTCCACTGATCACTACCTGGTGGTGAGTTGACTCCGATGGTGGGGGAGGATGCCGGTCAGACCTGGCAGACCCAAATGTATTGTGAAGGTTTGCTGGGAACGTCTGGCAGTCTCCTGTGAGATGAAGTTTTAACTCCCACCTCCGGGAGAACTTCGAACATGTTACGGGGGAGGTGGGGGACATTGAGTCTGAGAGGGCCATGTTCCATGCCTCTATTGTCGAGGCGGCTTACCGGAGCTGTGGCCGCAAGGTTGTCGTGCCTGTCACGGCGGCAACCCTCGAACCCGGTGGTGGACACCGTCGGTGAGGGATGCTGTCAGGCTGAAGAAGGAGTCCTATTGGGCTTTTTTGGCCTGTGGGACCCCGGAAGCAGCTGATGGGTACCGGCAGTCCAAGCGACATGCAGCTCGGGTGGTCGCTGAGGCAAAAACTTGGGTATGGGAAGAGTTTGGAGAGGCCATGGAGAATGACTTCCGCACGGCTTCGAGGCGATTCTGGTCCACCATCCGGCGTCTCGGGGCAGGAGGGGGGGGGGGGGGGGGAGCGGTACACCACCAACACTGTTTATAGTGGGAGTGGTGTGCTGCTGACCTCAACTCAGGATGTTGTGAGTCGGTGGGCAGAATACTTTGAAGACCTCCTCAATCCCACCGGCACGTCTTCCACTGAGGAAGTGGAGCCTGGGGACTCTGGGTCATGCCCTCCAATCTCTGGTGCTGAGGTCACCGAGGTGGTTAAAAAGCTCCTCAGTGGCAGGGCCCCAGGGGTGGATGAGATTCGCCCGGAGTTCCTTAAGGCTCTGGATGTTGTAGGGTTGTGTTGGCTTACGCGACTCTGCAATATTGTGTGGACATCCGGGGAAGTTCCCCTGGATTGGCAGACTGTGGTGGTGGTCCCCCTATTCAAAAAGGGGGACCGTGGAGTGTGTTCCAACTACAGGGGAATCATGCTCTTAAGGTCTGTCATGGTGAAGAGAGAGCAGAGTCAAAAGGCGAAGCTCTCAATTTACCGATCGATCTACGTTCCTACCCTCATCTATGGTCATGAGCTTTGGGTTGTGACCGAAAGAACAAGATCTCGGATACAAGCGGCCAAAATGAGTTTTCTCTGCAGGGTGTCTGGGCTCTCCCTTAGAGATAGGGTGAGAAGCTCGATCATCTGGGAGGGACTCAGAGTAGAGCTGTTGCTTCTCCACGTCGAGAGGAGCCAGGTGAGGTGGCTTGGGCATCTGTTTAGGATGCCTCCTGGACGCCTCCCTGGTGAGGTGTTCTGGGCACGTCCCACCGGGAGGAGACCCAGAGGAAGACCCAGGACATGCTGGAGGGACTATGTTTCTCGGCTGGCCTGGGAACGCCTCGGGATTCCCCCGGAGGAGCTGGCCCAAGTGGCTGGGGAGAGGGAAGTCTGGGCCTCCCTACTTAAGCTGCTACCCTGCAACCCAACCCCGGATAAGCGGAAGAAAATGGATGGATGGATGGATAAAGAAATATAGCGTCACTACTTAGTGGTTTTTCACTTATTGCTTGGGGGTCCGGAACATAACCCTTGCAATAAACGAGGGACTACTGTGGTTCAGAATAACTTGTTTTTGTGTAATTTCACGGTTTGCAACAAATACCTTTAAAATGTGTTTTTGGCTGCAAACATTAAAAAAAACACACCAATACACATGCAGCGTGACGCAATACATATGGACAAACTATCATATTTATTTGTCTCGTCATGTCTTCAGATTTAAAATAATCATAAGATCAAATTTCATAAAAAAAAAAAAAATCAACCTTTTTCCATGTATTTATATAAAGAATGACAAAATATATCATAGTAATCCTGTCCAGTTACAGGGAAACAACATATTAAAAGCACCAAGTAACTTTCTGATAACATACTTGATATTTTTCTGTAGTTAATTACATATGAAATCACACAGACCACTGATTATGGTCAACAAAGGGAAACAAACATCCTCCACGGGTATTAACTTTATGAAATAACTTTAAAACAAACACAAAATGGTGCAGTGTTGACATCCAGGAGTGAAAATTTACAGAACATGAACAGAAGAAGGCACCTTTGTGACATAACACTTGACAGGTAATGTGTAAAAGTTGAAATACACTGAAAGAATGGAGGTTTCTCCAGAGCAGCTATGTTGTTTTTTGATTTCGGGTGACGTTTGTCTGTTTCAGCCACCTTATCAAACGCAACGCTCCTCTACTTCGGCAGCAGTAGAGTGAAATGTAACATGGTCACTAACAGTTGGTGTACTTCTGCAGCTCTCCTCGGATCGAGTCTCGCACCAGAGTGGCGTTATATTGCAGGCCGTCCAGCTCAATGCGCTGTTTCTGCATCCGGTCCTCATTATTCTTGAACTTTTGCTCCAAATCTGATAAAAAATAAAATAAAAAACACGTGTTTGAATGAGGGAAACAGTAGGGGGAGAAACTACTAATGCTTTTCTACAAGTTGTCTGCAGGAAGCTGAAAGGTGAGAAGAATGAACTCAACTGCATCAGGAACAGAAAGAAAAGGCATGCAGACCTTTGTCCAACAGTCTCTAACTGCACAATAATTTACACAGATTGAGCTCGCGTTTATTCTCTCAGGCTCATTATAACATGTTGAGCTCTCACAGAGTATCCTGATGCATGATCAATAATCCAGGTAGAAAAATCCAAAAAAGTTCAATCTGGTCCTCTGGACATTCAAAAAAACAAACAAAACAAACAAACAAAAAACCCACAGAGACTCACACAGAGTCCTCCACTCAACCACATCAAATTTAACTCAATATTTGTAAAACTGACTGAGCCATTTTTGTGACTGATAAAATAAACTCCACATTGTATTAAATTTAGTCAAGTCAACTTTATTTATAGAGCACATTTAAAACAGAAACTGTTATCAAAGTGCTTAACAACAACATCAATGGGAGTAAAATTTATGAAAAAAATACCATACACTAATGATAATACTGAAGAATTAATGAATAGCATTTAAAACATAGGATCACAGAACAAAAAACACAATCATCTCACACTGTGTGAAATGCCTGTGAGAACAGATGTGTTTTAAGCAGAGATTTGAAGTGAGGAAGGGAGGTGGCCTGCCTGATGTTGGGGGGCAGGTTGTTCCAGAGTTTGGGGCCCATGACTGAAAAAGCCCGATCTCCTCTGAGCTTCAGTCTTGTTTTTGGAACAGCCAAAAGCAGCTGATCAGATGATCTCAGGGCCCGAGAGGGAAAAATGGTTCCAGTAGCTCAGAGAGATTAGGGGTGCGAGGCCATTTAGGCATTTGAAAGTCAACAGAAGAATTTTAAATACTATCCTAGTACGAACAGGGAGCCAGTGAAGGGAGGACAGAACTGGAGTAATATGTTCAGACCTGCGAGTCCTGGTTAAAAGCCGAGCAGCAGCATTCTGGATGAGCTGAAGACGTGAGATGGAGGCCTGGTTGACCCCAGCGTAGAGTGCATTGCAATAGTCCAATCGGGTCGTGACAAAGGCATGGACTAGTTTCTCACAGTCGAGTCTGGACAACACTGGCTTGAGCTTAGCTACCTGTCTTAGTTGGAAGAAGCTTTTCTGCAGAACAGAGTTGATTTGTTTGTCAAACTTGAAGTCAGAGTCTAAAACTATCCCAAGATTTTTACCAGACTGCTTCAGATATGACTGAAGAGAGTCCAGGTTGACAGGATCAGTGGCAGCAGTTGAGCTAGGGCTAAAGACAATGACTTCAGTCTTCTCATCGTTAAAACTTAAGAAATTTCAAGCCATCCAGGCCTTAATGTCGTCCAGACATTTTAACAGAGGGTGAATGGAGCAAACACTTGCTGGTTTCACAGGCAGGTAAATCTGACAGTCATCAGCATAACAATGGAATGAAAGACCATGTTTCCTGAGGATGGACCCCAGTGGGAGCAAATAGAGTGAGAACAGAAGGGGTCCAAGAATCGAACCCTGTGGGACCCCGCAAGAAAGAGGCAATGAGGCGGATACATTATTACCAACCTTGACACAAAAACTCCTGCCACTCAGGTATGAGCAGAACCATTCTAATACAGCACCTGTAATCCCAACCCACTGTTCCAGCCGTGATATAAGGATACTGTGGTCAACAGTATCAAAAGCAGCAGTAAGGTCCAGGAGTACGAGTACCACAAATTGACCAGAGTCATTTGATACCATAAAATTGTTTCAAACTCTCAATAATGTGTTTCAGTGCTGTGGAGTTGCTTAAAACTTTTAATTTAATCACGCACTGTTTCAGTGAGTGATTCCTTTTTGCCAGTTTCTGGGAATTTCACAGCAGGATTGAAACGCATCGATGAGGTGATATCTGGCAGCACAACGGCTCAGTTGCACTGTTGCCTCACAGCAAGAAGGTCCTGGTTTCAATCCCCAGTTGGACCTTCTGTGTGGAGTTTGTGTGTTCTTCTCGTGCTTGCGTGTTTTCTCCGGGGACACTGGTTTCCTCCCACAGACCAAAAACACTCATGTTAGTCTGCCTTCAGGCCCAGGCCTCCCTTTCAAAAGAGATCTGTGATCTCAATGGGATTTGCCTGGTTAAATAAAGGTTAATAAATTTATACAAAAGATCCCGTTGGCAGGCCTCAGACTGAAGAAGTCTTTCGGATGAAAGACAAAACGTTTCTTTCAAGAAGAATAAGCCCAGATGACATGATTTAACTTTTTTGTGTGTGATTCTTTTACCTGGATGGTTGATCAGGACACTAAAGAGCTTACTTCTGAGAGCGTTATTAAAATGTGTCCAGATTTATTGTCTGCATTTTGCTTTTCTGAAATAAAAACAAATGCATTTGATTCTTGTGTTCTACCTGTATGAAAGCAGGTTGTTCACTCACCTTTGAGTAGCTTTATCCCGTTCTTGGCTTTGTTCAGGAGATCCTCTGCATCCTTCTTCATATTTCTGGCCCTTTGGTGGATGTTCTCCAGTGTTCCAGACTCCGGCCCCAGAGATGCAATCTTTATCTTCAGCTCCTCGAAACGTTTCTCTGTGTTGTTGAAGCTCTGGGAGACAACAGTTAGATTTTATTATTTATTTGGCTGAATTTGTAAACACAAACCGATCGATGCCGTAACGCAAATAGTGGGCGGGCTGGTGGGGGTGTTGGGAGTGGGAGGGCGGGACTGCATTGGGATTCCTCCCCCAGGAAATTTTGAATAAAGTAGATGTGATTTCCTGCATTTTTGTTGTATTTTAACGGGTTGTTAAACATCTACGTTTACCTACATTTGTGAACACTCTGCTTCTGTCAATCATCTCTCCTCCCCCTTACTTGACGGCTCAGAGCTGACACTGTCCCTGCTCGTTGTTGTCCAACTCCACATGTGAAACCTCCAGGGCAGGCAACTCCTCCGTCTGGGCTCCTGCTCGCATACGACTGCCTAGTTAGCTCTTTCGGCAATCACCCCGACCACTCTTTTAGGGGCAGAGATTTTTTTAAGGGTGGGAAATGCTACTTGAAGAGGCAGCTCGTATCCCCATATGTGGCTGTTGTGTTTAAAATGAGTGTTTATGTAATTATTTCCAGTTTACATCCAATACACGTTTTATTTGTTCAAGGCAGTCAAATTTATTCATAACTTTATTATAAGTAAGCCTGAGAGTTACTGGATCCAAGCAAACAGTTACCAGAACGCACCCTGTCAAAATAAGAGTTCCCGAATCCGGTTCCGGCAGGATCCGGCTCAAATTAAGCCCTGATTCCAACCTTAAATCAGATTTAAAATCAAAGGCCTGGCATTCCTTGAAGAAATGTACATCACCCACCTCCTTTTAAGAAGAATTATTTTAAAGGTAGTTGCCACTTCTTGCAAGACGTGTTAATGCTTGAAGAACATGTTCAGATTATTTTCAGCAACTAGTCCACTAAATTGTAGCTAAATATCTGCAAAATTGGGCCCTGTGATGGACTTGCGACCTGTCCAGGGTGTACCCCGCCCCTCGCACAGTGATTGCTGGACATGGGCACCAGCGACCCCCGTGACCCAAAATGGAATAAACGGGTAAAGAAACTGGATGGATGGATGGATCTGCAAAATTGACTGAGTTATAGCCATTTTTGTGTTTTCCAAGTTGTGACAACCATCTTGAATGGGATTGGCTCCAAAAGGTAGTTGGTTTTAGATGTTCTTACAGTGTTTCTTTCAGATTCTCCAGTTATTCACGAGATATTTAGCGAAACAGTAGAGAAAAGCACACAAACATACGTTAAACCCTAATGGTCTGTCTTCATTTATGTTTGCCGACATTCACCTTGCCCAGTGAGGATGCTTGGTGAGTGGCGTTATTAGCCAGGTCTAGGGCGTCTTTCGCCATTTGCCTGTTCATCTCTGTCTTGTTCCTGAGAGCCTCCACCCCCACGGAGAGGTTGCTCAAACGCATCATGATGTCCATCTGCTTGTCCTCAAGCTGCTGCAGTGTCCATTCCACCTAAACAACGATTGGACATGAAATAGAAGACTTATGGATACATTTGAAGAGAGACAGGTGACCTGAGGCAGATGATCATTAAATACTTTATTCATTAAATTAAATTAGGGCCTACATTTTTCAGATAACTGGGAACATTTCATGCACACAGAATTGGTGTTTAGTAATGATGTACCTCAGCTGTGGCATTCTTTGAGATGTTCAGGTTGTCATGGGCCTCCTTCAGAGCAATCCTTGCTTTCACTATGGCCTCCTCTGACACATTCAGTGCCTGCTTGGTGCTATTGACACGATCATTCACCGACACTGCTCGGCTCCTGTACACGACCACCAGCGAAAACACATTTTCTGATTGTATTCCAGACAATTACTAAACCAATGGTATTTAAGACCAAGTTAGCATCTGGATGGAATTAAAACAGGTAATTTAAATGGTAATTAAAAAAAGCTTAGCTTCTAGTATCTTTTGAAGGAGTTTGAAAGAACGCATATTGCTAGCTGCCTTTAAAGACAGAATATCCTGATGCATGCTCAATAATCCAGGTAGAAAAATCTAACAAAGTTAAGTCAGGACATCTGGACGGATTAAAAAAAGACTGCTTAATGTGTTTTTTGTGTGTTTTCTAGTTTTATTTATTTATTTCTGACTTAACTGAAACTGAGTCGTAGCAACTTCAATCAAACCTTGACAATTACACTATGCTCAACCTCATGTAATATCATCAGATGTCATGCTCAGAGTATGAGTTCTACAAAACTCTCAGCTACAAGCACACCAAATTAGAGGTCAAAATCTGTAAAATTGACTGAGTTATACCAGTTTTTCCATTTAACTGGTTAATACCGATTAGCTGTAATGGTCATCTTGAATTATATATATATATATATATATATATATATGCATAGACTAAAATAAACAACAATTTACTACTTGTACTACTAGTCCTACTTCGCTGTTTTTCACATATCGTGGGGCTTCATGGTACAGATCCTCCCGCGATAAACAAGAGACTACTGTATCTGATTATTAAGCATGAATCAGGACAAGCTTTATATGTAACTAGTCTGTTTTATTGTGTGTGACTCTGTTTCTGACTCTGTTTCTGATACAAGTAAGAACATAGTTCTTAAGAACATAGTTCTTACAAATAGTTCTTACTTGGCTTCTTTCGCTTTTTCAAGCAGCTCCTGGGCATTTTTGATGAGATGAGAGGTCTGATTAACAACGCCCTCTACGTTGGTGAGGTTGGAGAGACTTTCCTTTATCTGCATGATGATTTTGTTCAGAGTCGTCAAGTTGAAGGGAAGTTTGATATCCATGACTTGACTTGCCACCTTCTGGATGCTGTCGGGATCAGCTCCCTCCTCTAGAGGGCAAAATAAACCAACAATCTTAATTTGTAAAATGTTAGAATAGGATTCCACTTGCATAGAAAACAAACAAACAAACCAGTAAGGAAGTTTCTAATAGTCTTTATGAAATCTTTAAGATTCTTGTTGTTGTTTTCAAAGTACTCCTTCTTCTTCTGGGCCTTCTCCAGCGAGGTCATCGCCTGATTCTTCACATCATTCGTCAGAGCAGCTATATCTTTGAGCTGGACACAAGAGATAAAAATGTCCAGTGGTCAAAGAAATGTCTCCAGTCCCAGCAGAACAAGTGGCAAACTTCTAGCACCTTCTTCGAGACTCGCTGCAGCTCCTTGTTGGCAGCGTTCAGATTGTCTGAGGCATTCTGGGCGACGTTGAGCGCTGCCAGAGACGTGCTCGTCGTCCCGTTGCAGCCCTCTCCACCGCATACATGCTCACCCTGATTGTCACGGCAACCTGCGCCCCCGCACCGGCTTTCAGGGCAGCTGCCATTGACGCTGGCATTGTTGTGACCGCCACATACCTTAAAAAGCAGAATGCAGAGCAGATGACTTGAACCGGTCAGACGTATTACATCTCAGAATCAGGATTAGCTTTATTATCATTGCACTGAAGCGCGGCAAAGTTACATTTCAGTACAGCCTGCCCAAGAGAAATGAACAAACAGACGTGGGGAGACGGAGGTGACTGAGGCCGCCGACCTCGAGAGGCACAGCTCTTTTTTTCAGATAAGGAAAAAGAAACACGAGGGAGAGCGTAGGTGTAACAAAAAACATCAGATCTCGCACTGTGTCCTAGACGGGACATATTGATGATATCATAATGCACGAGGAGGCCGACGAGGGCAGTGAGTTGTACGTGGAGACTGCCAGAAAGTTCCATAGTCCTGAAAAGATGGCAGTGTCTATCAGCCGGCTCAACTCTGACACAGGTCCACAGATGTCCTCGGGATGGGAGCGATAAGGGAGGTGGGGGGAGCAGAAGCAGAAGTTTGAGATAGCTGGCCAATTCAAGGCTGAGTGGGGAAGCCAAATTCAGATACAGTTATTCTGGGTCAGGCAGCCTCTGCTTGAATTTCCATGTCTGCCTCCATAGTTCTGCTGGTACGTCTCACTGGCGATTCCAAACAGCCAAATTTTGTTGTCATACCGCCGGACCGAGCTTGTAGCCTTCTCCAAGGTTGATTCCTTTCCTGCCAGTGAGTCCCAGGAGCCACAAGTGGCCTGCGATTCTCAGAAATCGCATCCAGCTTACGGCTCAACTCGTGCAGCGTCTGAGTCTGAGAACTTACTGCTCGGTACATTCCTTCATACAAGGCAGGCAGCCTTACAATCGACAGAACCGCTGCCGCCGTCTTCCAAGTTTGTCGATATGCCAGATACCCACCAACACCAAAAAGCAGAAATCCGGTTATCATAAATCCAATTATGCATCTTTCTTGGACCTATCAATTAATTAATTGTCTCGAAGTGGAAAAGCGTAAATGTGTTAGTTTCTGCAGCTGTTATTGTTTCTAATAGATTATCTCCTCAGCTATTTCCATGTCTTTTTGACCACTACAAAATGTCTTTAATGTTTCTGTTGTGCTCACCTTGTTGCTGAGACGTTGAACTTCCTTATCAAGGTCTTGAGTTTTATTGTGCAGCTCATTTAATGAACTGTTCTGAGTCGCCAGAACCTGGAGGAACTTGTCTTCGCGCTCATTCAGCAGCTTCTCGGTGCGTGCTCGGGTACGGTTGGACTGTTCCAAAATACTGTCCGCATCAGACACCTTGGAGTCCAGGTAGTACTTCTTGATTTTCTCAAACTGATCTGCGAGAAACCAGAAGTGCAGTTTGTTGCTTGGTATGAGACGTGCGGTTTTATTTCTTGTATTTTTTCAGTTAACAGGTTGGGGTCGTTACCTGCAAACCCCGAGGTGAGACGGTCATCCAGCACCTGCTGTTTGTGAGCCACAGTAGCATTAATGTCCCTCAGCTCTTTCTCTAAATCACTCAGGGTACGTTTTAAGTCTTCATCCCGTCCTGCAGTGGAGTTCAGCTCATGGCTGATGTCCGTTAGACGTCCGTTGGTGAGGAGAATCTCAGTACTGAAACACAATGATGTTTTTATTATTTAGAGAACTGAGAAAAATGACAAACGGTGCGAAGTGCCCACCTGAGGTCGTCGACGCTCTGTCCGATCAGCTGCTGGATCGTGTCCGTGTCCACGCTACTGATCAAATCCCGCACCTGACTCAGCTTCCTCTCCAGCTCCTTGATGCGAGCGTCCTCGGCTCCGGGCGTGATCCCGCTCTCCAGGATCTTCTGCACCATGTACTGGATGTGCTCCAAGTCCCTCCTGAGCTGGCACACGTGGTCGTCCCACAGCTGGAAGCACGGGTGACACTGGACGCAGCTGGGGAAGACGCCCATGAAGCCACGTGCACACTGGTCGCAGTGCCTCCCCACTGCGCCCTCCCGACACTCGCATTGGCCCGTTTCTCGGTCACACTGGGCGGTCTCTGAACCCAGCGGGTGGCAGTTACACTCTGAACGGACAGAGGACGACACGTGGACAGGAAGACAGAGAGGATGATAAGAGAGTTGAAAATACTTTAGTATGCTGGTGCTTTTATTTGTCTGTACTGTTAGCAAAATATCCCATGAACAGGTTTGAATTAAACTCTCAGGAAGTGGATATGAATTTATAATAAATGTCTTTTCAAAGTCAATCCTTTTTAAAATGGCCGTCACGGCTGAGCGACCTTAAACTCGAAGCCTGCTGTTGTTTAGACAGTTTTAAAGATACTGAGCTCAAAGTTGGTGTGGAGGTAGCTGAGACTCATCCCCAACACGACTCTAAGCACTAACTGATCTGTTTTTAAACTTTGTCATTAACTATTAGAGTCGATTGTGTCGGTCTGTTTGCATTTATCTCATGAACCGCTGGATGGATTTTAATGAAACTTGCAGAAAACAATACGTAGATGTATAACAATAAAACATTTGGAAAGAAATATGTAAATCGAATGTTATTATTTGTTGTTTTAGTATCTTTTCCTTCCAGTAGGCAACACGATCCACTTTGTTTTAGTCTTGTTGAACTAAAATGGGGCAGGATTTGTTTTTCTTCCAAGTTTGAGCCCCACTGCCGTAAGCCTCGTTTATAATTGAAGTTAAATATGGATTAAATTTCAAAGATGCGCACTTGACCAAATGTAATAATTGTGCACAGGAAGGAGCTGCAGCTGACAAAAAAAAACACAAAAGTTTATAAAACAAAGTCTTAGAAGTTCACGTTTCACAGCATGCCACTGAAGTTTGAATGTTTTCAGTTTTTTCTTGTTTTTAAGTTTTCTACATCGCCTTACAACCTAGCTGTTTTTTTACATACATTTTTAAATAGCATTTTATTTTCACTTGTTCTTCTCAATTTGTATGCATCCTTTTGTGATTGTCCACTGTTGTCATCACTCTTTGTTAAAATCAGGTCTCTCTTGTAAATGAGTCTGAGGCTCAATGGGATTAACCTGTCTAAATAAAGGTTGAATGAATGAATGAATGAATCAAATGTAAAACATCTTTATGCAAATAAAAAACGAGAAATAAACTATTTAAAAAAATGGAGTGCGTTTTAGAATCATCATGTAAGCGGAGCACTTTAACTTTCGTGTACAGTTACTGCTCTAAGTAAAAACTGTGTTTATTACACCCATGAAAATGTTGTCGACCTTCTCATTGTTGGTTCGGGTGCAGTTTATTTTCTGCCACTCTGCGTCACCAGACGAGTTACCTCGACACTCCACCTGCGGGTCTCCCCAGTGAAGCTGCTCGCACTCTGTGCAGTGTTGGCCTCCGAATCCTGGGTGACAGTGGCACTGACCTGTGAACTGAACGGGACGCATTCTGTCAGAATCTTCATCATCACCGTCAAGGTTTCACAGTTCTCCGCTCTTCCTCACCAAGTTGCAGTGAGTTCCCAGGGAGTGGTGATGATCACAGTGACAGGGCTCGCAGCCTCTGTCCTGCCCGTAATTCCAGTAGTCAGGAGCGCACTGGTCGCAGCCATGGCCGACCACGTTCTCTCTGCAAGGACAGACTCCAGTCTGACGGTCGCAGTGACACTGTCCGTCACTGCAGGCGGACTCCACAGTGCCAGAAGGCACACAGGTGCAACCTGGGAAACGTGGAGGTGAATCGCACTGCTGTTTAGTTCAACTTTAAGTTTTTACTCAAAAAAAAAAAAGTAAAAATGGATTTGATGGTAAATGATCAACTTTAAAAACTAGAGAAATTATATTTCCTTGGAAATACAGTGAGAATGCTTATTGCAGAAGAACTTGCTGAAAAACAGCTGAAATTAGCTAAAAACATGCTGAAATGTAGCTGAAATGTTAGCCTAAATTAGCTAAAGAAAGCAGAAAGAACACATATTTGTTGAATTAGGTTTAAAAGTGCAGAAATTAGAACACAATTAGGAAATTATCTTAAAAAAGGCTGAAATTAGAAAAAAAAGAAGCTTAAAAAGCAGAAGGAAGCTTAAACTACCAGAATGAAGTGGAAAGAGATTAAATTAGGTTTAAAAAAAAATAGTGGAATTAGCTAAAAAAAAACTAAAAACAGCATCAAAACAGCTAAACAGTAGCTGAAATAGCAGAAAAAGGTGAAATGCAGAAAAAGCTGAAAATAGTATAACAAGCTGAAATTAGCATAAATAAATTAATTAGGTTGAAAAGAGCAGAAATTACCATGAAAAACTTGAATTTATCTTCAGCTGAAATTAGCTAAAAATGCTAAAAAGGTAGCTGAAAAGTTAGAACAAGCTTAAATTAGAAGAAGAAAGCAGAAATGTTTGACCAGTTGGACTGAAAGAAGCAGAAATGAGCACAAAACAGTGGAAATTATCTGAAATAAGCAAAAACTGTGGAAAAGTAGCTAAAAAAGTAGAAAGAAGCTTAAATTACAAGAAGGAGGTGGAGAGGACATATTTTTGCTGAAATAGACTGAAAAAGGTTGACACGAGTGCAAAAAATGTGGAATTAGCTGAAAAAAAAATCATATTAGCATAAAAACAACTACATAGTAGCTGAAATTGCAGAAAAAGCTGAAACTTGCAGAAATAAGCTGAAAGGAGCATAAGCTGAAATTAGCAGAAAGAAGTTAGAAGAAGCACAAAAATGTTGTAGTTAGCAGAAAGAATCTAAAAGGAGCACAAAACAGCTGAAAAAACAGCTGAAATTAGCTGATTTATTTTTTTTTTTGCACAAGAAAGCTGAAGCAGAACAAAATGTGAAAGGAGCAGTAAAAGGTTGTAAACAGATCTAAAGATTTGAAGGATGGAAAATGAGCTCAATTCATTTTCTATGAGGAAAAAAAATGTCAGAAAAGGCTAAATATGTTTAAAAAAGCTGAAGTTGCGCCAATACTAAAAGTCATAGCAGGATTGTCCTGAAAGAGCTAAACGTTTTGTTGAAATCGCACAAAAACTGTGGAACGAGAAAGATGCTGAAAAACGTATAGAAGAAAAATGGATCACAAAAGTGAGAATGCTTCATAAATATCAGGGGAACGGTAGCGTCCATATCAAGGTTCATGCTCAGTAACATAAAAAAAGTTAAGTCTGGTCCTCTGGACATCCAAAAAACAAAACAAAGCAACAAAAAAAAAGTAGAAACGTTTTGTCTTTCATCCAAAAGACTTCTTCAGTCTGAGTCTCAGTAACCTTCCATATGAACACAGCTTCCATACTGACATCAGCTGTTTTATCAAAAACAAACTTAAAAGAATAAAGATTATGGTAAATATCAGCTGGAATGACTCACGTCTGCAGTCCTGGGACAAGGCGTTGCCAAAATACCCGTGTTCACAGTGGGAACAGGAAGGGCCGTCCGTGTGGTACAGACACCGCAGACACTGGCCTGTCCTGGGGTCACATGATCCAGGATCCTGGGGGTCGATGTTGTTATTGCACTCACATGGCAGACACAGCCCTCCTGGCCGCTCTGGGTTGCCATAGAAACCAGGGGCACACTGATCACAGCGGAGACCTTTGAGAAGAGAGGGTAAATTAAACGATAAATGGACTGTGTCGCCTTTCTTTCTAATCAAGATACTCAAAGCGCTTTGCCCTGCAGTCTGTAACTGTAAATTCAGTTGTATTGTTTGGTGAATATGCAAAACTAATAACTCGCGTAAGAAAACAAGTTTACTTGACAACCAAACAAACAAATCCAGCCAGGACAAGCTGAGCTGTATGTGTCCGTGTTGTGTTGGCTCACCTGTGTAGCCTTGTTTACAGTTGCACATGATCTGATCAGAGGTTTGGTCAGCCTGACAGGAATGTCCATTAAAATGGTTTGAACCAGGGATACCAGGACAAGGACAGGGGCGACAGTGGTCCCCTGAGCCAAGCACTGGGTTCCCATAAAACCCATCCATGCAACTGAAACAAATGAGGGAGACGTTTAGTCACAGACGTAACACAAAGCAGACGAAGTGAGGACAGTGCAACACTGATTTGTCCTCACCGATCACAGAGGTGTCCTGCTGTGCTGTCCCTGCACTCTCTGCATTCCCCGGTTTGGGAGTCACAGATATCTGCGTGGCCGTTGCACTGACAGGGTCTGCAGCTGGGGAAGCCCCACTGGCCCGGATGGCAGTCAGAGCACTGGCGCCCGGTGGCTCCTTGTCTGCACGGGCACTGGCCTGTGACTGGGTCACACTGGTGACTCACAGAGCCCTCGGAGTGGCAATTACAAGCTGAACGGGAGGAAAACAGAGTTAAGAGAGATCTTCAAGAAGCGGCGCATGGGCCATATTTAGCCAACAGGCTCATTTCATCTGGTCTGCAAAGTATTTAAAGTACTATTAAATTATACACATTAATTTAACTTAACCCATCAGAGTGTTTGCTTGCAGCATGCCTTATTTCGAAGCTGAATTCAGCACCGAGTTGTAAAATGTGAACTGGAAAGTCAACGGATTAGCTAAAGAGGACGTACTAACAAGATGAAGATCCCATGTTTGAGTCTCACATGGGAACACTTTTCTCTGCTGAATGGAGACAATTTGAGATTTAAGAATAGATTTTTGTGATTATAAATATTTCACTTTATAAGGAAAGTCAGCTTTAAAGAGGTTTTAGTTTTTGGACCTGAGCATCTTAAGAATAAACTTTATAGCCTTTCACGTCCTCTGGATGGCATTAATCTGTCCTCCAGCTCTAATGGTAAAAATCTTGGTGTTGTTTTTGATCAGATGTCTTTTAACCCCCGCATTAAAAACATTACTAGAACCGCCTTCTTCCAGCTGCGTAATATCACTAAAATTAGAAACATCTTGTCCAAAAATTTAATTAAACAGAAGTTGTCTCAGGGTACTGTACAAAAACATTCACGTACATAAAAAAGCCAAAGCGTAAAAGTTATCTAGATAAGGAAGGTTGAATCTTCACTTCGTCACAGTCTCCCATCATGAGCAAGCACAAAGGAGACGGTGGAAAGGAAAAACTCCCTTTAACAGGAAGAAACCTTTAGCAGAACCAGGCTCAGGACGAGCAGCCATCTGCTTTGAACGGCTGGTTTGAGAGGACGGGAAACACAGAATTGCAGGTCCAGGTGTTCCCCATGATGATCCAGAAAAACTGGTCCATGCATTTATCACATCTAGACTGGACTGTTGCAATGGTTTGTTATCTGGGTGTCCAAAAATTAATTTAAAACGTCTTCAGTTGATCCAAAATGCTGCTGCCAGAGTCTTAACTGGAGTTAGTGGGAGAGCTCATATCTCTCCAGTTTTAGTTTCTCTCCACTGGCTTCCTGTCAAATCCAGAATCGAGTTCAAAGTCTTACTTCTAACCTACAAAGCTCTCAACAACCTAGCTCCATCTTATATTCAAGATCTTATTGTTCCATATTTTCCTAACGGAGCACTTCGCTCTCAGACTGCAGGTTTGCTTGTGGTTCCTAGAGTTTCCAAAAGCAGAACGGGAGGAAGATCTTTCAGTTCTCAGGCTTCTCTCTTGTGGAACCAACTTCCAGTTTCTGTCCGTGAGGCCGACACGTTGTCCAGTTTTAAGACTGGACTTAAGTCTTTTTGATAAATCGTATAGTTGGGGTTGGGTTTCCTGAGCTATCCCTTAATTACGCTGTTATAGGCGTTGACTGAAAAAGGACACGTTTCCTCACTCTGCTGTCTTTACTTGCTCTACTCTACCTGTTTGGATCTGTAATTATTTATATCTTAACATGTTTTGTTTTGTCTTTCCTCCTATAAACTTCACCTGGACCTGTCAATCTGTGTTTCTTTGTTTCCACTTCCTGTTCCTCTCAAACCCAGCCGGTTGAAGCAGACGGCCGCTCGTCCCGAGCCTGGTTCTACTAAAGGTTTCTTCCTGTTTAAAGGGAGTTTTTCTTTCCACCGTCTCCTTTGTGCTCGCTCAGGATGGAAGACTGTGATGAAGCGAAGATTCAACACAACCTGCTGCTTCCTTAGATATATAACTTTTACTAACTGACTTTTTATGTATGTGAATGTTTCTGGTCAGCGCCCTGAGACGACTTAGCGCTTTAGAAATAACCCGAATTAAACTGCATTGAAACAAACCTCAACATAAACCTAATTAATCCGATGAAATAAATGTGCTTTGTTATAAGCAGTAATATTATATGAAATATGTTTTACAGTATCGGAGGCAAAGTGTCTAATCATTGATCCTTATTTAAGCGATCACTGGTGATTACTTACTGACCTAGTACTAAAACCAGACCCACCCGTGCAGCCGTTTGCTTCAAAGCCGTAGGTTGCTGGAGCGCACTGGTCGCAGCGCCGCCCGATGACGTTGGGTTTACAGAGACACTGACCCCCGACCTTCTCACACTCACCGCTGACGGAGCCCTGAGGGTCACACTGACAGGCTGAACACAAAGGACAGGAAACACGCCGCATCAGTAATTATTGGGTTAAACTTAGAGCGTGCCGATTCGTGTCCACTTACGCAGAGCGCCATCGTGAATGATGGATGAGATGCTGCAGATGAGTTTGGTGCACATTTCGGCCAGAGTGGGCATCTGTGTGATCAGGAAGGAATCCAGGCACATGTAGCGGATCATATCGTCCCGGTGCTGCTCCGCCGCTGGCCCGTTGCCGCGGAAACCCGTAAGCTCCGTGTATTTAGGGATCAGTACCAGCTATCCAAAAGAATAATGTTAAAAAAAAGATCAGAGACTACTGGATGATCATTGGCAATAAATAACCCTGAAAAGCCAAAGACTTTGTATTAATTATGAAAGTTTAAGCAAATATGGTGAAAAACAAGTGAAACGTAACAAAACTGGTAGAAAGAAACGAACTTTTCAAGTAAAGTGTGTCTACAAATGACAAAACGAAAAGAAAACTCCAAAAGTAGGACTGGTTCTTGATGGAAAACCAAAACTCACTTTACTTTGAATACTTTTTTTTAAAAAAGCAACTCTGGGAAAAAGTAAGTTAAAAACTTCTGAGTTGAAACTTTCCACCAGTAGGGGGACATGTCTCTGCATGCATGCACTGGTCGACCTGCTCCTACAATCAGCTGAACAAAGCTCAATAATCAGACGTGCTTTTAGATTCGTTTTGATCAGAAACGCACAAAACGAGCCCTGTATAGAGCCGCAGGAGGCCGATCTAAAGGCTTGCAGTGGCTTTCTATGCATATAATGAGCAGAGCGTGTTAGCGGTCCTTACTCACCGAGTCGATGAGAATAAAAGCAGTTAGGTGTCGGTGTGCGACGCCGTGTCGCTGGAACCGGATGGTGACCACGTAACGATTGCTGGGCTCGAAACAGAATGGTCTGGACATGTGAACGATTCTGGAAGAAAGTGTAATGACCCATCAGGCCTGATGTAAATGGTTCTTTTATGTTCCTATTGTGGACATTTACTTTTGGTACAGACTGTATTTTATTTGCAAAATAACACACAGTAGCGTCCCCACTAGGCTTGGGCATCTCTGGTTTGTTCTGCTGTCGCAAAGCACAGCCAACCGTCGGATTCGTTGAAGCAGCAAAAGCTGATGCAACGTGATTCAGCCTCGAATTACGATTGAATTCAGCTTTCACTGTGTGGATGTTCGTGAAGCATTCACATTGCGATCCATTTTTCTTCTGTAAGTTTTTCAGCACAATTCTCGTCCCGCAGTTTTCAAGCTCTTTCAACAAACCATGAATCAAAACGTTCAGCTCTTTCAGGACCGTCCTGACGTTTGGTGTTGGTGCAACTTTAGCTTTTTGAAATATTTAGCCTTTTCTGACTTTTTTTTTCCTCATAGAAAATTAACTGAGCCCATTTTACGTCCTCAAGATCTTTAGATGTGTTTACAACCTTTAACTGCTCCTTTCACATTCTGTTCTGCTTCAGCTTCTTTATGCACACTTTTTTTTGTAATTCAGCTAATTTCAGCTGTTTTGTGCTCCCTTCAGCTTCTTATTGCTAACTACAACATTTTTGCTGTTCTTCTAACTTCTTTCTGCTGCTCCTTTCAGTTTATTTCTGCAAGTTTCAGCATTCTCTACTATTTCAGCTACTATATAGCTGTTTTTATGCTAATTTAAGCTTTTCAGCTAATTCTGCATTTTTTGCACTCATTTCAACTTTTTTCAGCCTAATTCAGATAAAAAAGGGGTTCTCTCCACTTCCGACTTGTAATTTCAGCTTCTTTCTGCTATTTTTGTTACTTTTCAACTGTCTTTTTGCTAATTTCAACTTTTTTTAGATAATTTCCACTTTTTGTGCTCATTTTTGCTTATTTCAGCCAAATTGGGCAAACATGTTCTTTCTGCTTTCTTCTGCAGCTTGTTCTACCTTTTCAGCTACTTTTAGCTGTTTTCAGGTAAATTCAAGTTTTTCATGGTAATTTCTGTTACTTTCAGCCTAAATAACTTCTTCCTGCTAATTTCAGCTTGTTGTGCTCCTTTCAGCTTATTTCTGATAGTTTCAGTCATTTCAGCTACTCTTTAGCCGTTTTATGCTAATTTAAGTTTTTTTTTCCCAGCTAATTTCACATTTTTTGCACTCTCTCTCACAAATAGGTTTTGCCATAGTCTGTGTCTTTTTGTTTGTTTTTAGTTACCGGGTACGTTAAGTTTGTCCTGGTTTTAGTTCTCTGTGTGTTTTGTGTTTTATTCTTCTGTCCCTTGTGTTTTGGTTCAGTTCCCTGTGTTTTCTTGCCAGTTCTCATTCTGACTCTCAGTCAGCCTCCTCTGTTTTTCAGTCAGATACCACTTACACCTGTTTCCAATTATTAATCACCCAGATGCTGCCCCCCCCCCAGTCCTATTTAAACCATCTTTAATCACCACTCCAACAGCACTTCATTGTCTTGACTAGCTGTCAGATGCCTCTGTCCTCCATCTTGTTCTCCCCTGAGTTTGTAAGTCGTTGCTGCCGTGTCAGCCCTTTGCTAACATAACTTTAATAAGTTTGATTTTACTTGAGCTCATCATGTCTGCCTGCACTTGAGCCCATCCCTTCATTTACATGTGACAGGTTTTGTTTTAAAATTGCAAAGCACTTTCATATAACCGGACTCACAACTAGAAGATAAATTGTTTATTATAACAAATGCAGAAAATATGTTTTTCACACACAAACATAACGTTTCTGTCATTAAAAGTAGATTCCTGTGTGTAAAAAAACTAACCTGCTGCTGACTTTTAACGACTACATGGATCTGATGTTATTGGCACAAAGACCTAATAAACCATCTGTGTCGAGATATAAAACCGTACGATTCACGTGTGGATCCATGAATTGGTATAAATCGGTTAATATTTGCACCTCTAATCCACATTTCTCAATAAATGAAGCGGTGTGTGGAACTCTGGTTTGAGTTTACCACATATATACGAATGATTCAATAAAGCAAAGAGAAAAGAACACATTGATGTTTTTGTGCACAGTTTTTGTGCATCTGGCCCTGCAGGTGAAAGACTGGCTGTGATTTATGGCCCCTCAGTCACAATGTACCTCCATTTGTTTGTTCTGAGTAAACGCTACGTTTTTTACAATCTAGACCTCAGTAAAGAAAGCTCCTGCCCTCATGTACCTGGTTCTGATGAAGTCTTTTTTCATTTTGTTTGCCCACCTGACTCGCAGCACCTACGAGCCGGGGCACGTTTAAGTGACAACAATGATGCAATTTTTCCTCAGCTATGTGAGGTACCTGGAGTGAACAAACATATGGCTGCAATGGACCTCGTTTAGACTTAAACACACACGGATATCCATTTAGAGTTGGTACCTGTTGTGGTGCAGCATGGTTTCAGTGTAGAGCTGCTCAGTCGGTAGCAGGTTTCCACATCGGCTGCTTGAGGGCAGATGAACGGAGGTAATGCTAACGATGGCCTCCCAGTCCTCCGTGGACTAAAAGACACGTTAGACAACTGTAACATTTTATAATTTTACTCTCTTTTTATTTTTTTTACATAATTTTCTTCACACAAGCACACCTCAGGTTCATAGCGGATCATGATGTCATACTCCATGGCGATGGGGATGTTGTCAAAAGTGAACATCAGGCCGGCGCCGTCTTTAACGCGAGCAAAACCAGGTCCGGTCCATGTCACCACGTGGCCCGGAGCGCGCTCTCTATGAACTGTCGTCACATCCGGCTGAGAACAAAAAAAAAAGGACAAAATACTAAGAAAACATTTCTTTATTAATATCAAGCTGGTAAAAAAAAATAAAAAAAATCAGGTCTTATGGACGGTTTGTTTTTGTGGAAACGTTTCGTCTTTCATCCAAAAGACGTCATCAGTCCGAGGAGCCACAACAAACTCAGTCTTATAAGCAGCACCTTCACATGGTGGGTCAACCAGTTTGATGGTTGAGTCAGCGGGGGAGAGGGCGGACTCCAGAAACCATTCGAGCACCATCAAACTGGTTGAGAAGGTGCTGTTTATAAGACAAAGTTTGTTAAATGGACTGTACTTATACAGCACCTTTCTATCTTACCAAGACACTCAAAGCTCTTTACAACAATCTGTGCCTCATTGACCCATTCATACAGCGCTCCACTAGATCTGTACAAAACTAATTGAACAAATCATTCTAAAGAGAATAATCAGAGTTTTATCACATTCATACACTGATGGGACACACATCGGAGGCAATGAGGGGTTCAGTGCCTTGCCCAGGGACACTTTGGAATGTGACTGCTGGTGGATTCGAACCCTCAGCTCTTGCATTGGAGGACGACTGCTCTAACCGCTCAGCCACAGCCGCCCTTGTTGTGGCTCCTCGGACTGATGAATCTTTTGGATGAAAGACGAAACGTTTCAACAAAACGAAACTGTCCAGAGGACCTGACTTCACTTTGTTGGACTTTCTTTATTAAATTTTGACAGGACAGGAAGTGTCTTTCATGTCTGAGAATTAAGACTGTCATTTAACAAAATTATTTCTAAATACGGATCGGGAAACATCACCTAAAATCAGAATCACAATATTTTATGACGTTTCTAAAATAGACTGTTTCAGACTTTGTACAGTGGTCGTGAAAAACCGTGAAGTGGGGATACCGTAGTCCAAGTTCAAGTTCAGTTCAAGTTCAGTAAACTTTGTCATGATGTGCCAGGCTGCAATCACACTCCCCTTACTCCCAATCTCCCTCCTTAAATAAACAATTTAAATTTAAATACAGTAACATTTTAAATAAAGAATCCATACAGCATGGCTTGATTATTTAACATGTTACAGTATTTACATTTAAATAGTGGAGAAGAGAAGAGAAGTGCAGCAGGACGTTAAAGGATGTCACACAGCTTCAGCTCTGCAGCAGAAATGTACTTTTTGATCAATTACATTTCAACAACTGAACAAAGAAGTTCTAAAATAACTAAAAATAACTTTTAACACTTTTGTATTTTGTGATTATGATGATTTTTACAATGTGACATACTTTGAATTTGAAGTTGGAAGACAAAAGTCGATCAGTGCAGCTGGACAGCAAAGCTGCAGCAGGAGAAATGTGCGTGCGTGGCAGAGAAGATCAGCTGATCAGCTGCAGGACGGAGCTTCCCCTTCACTTGTGGGCTTGCACACATGGTGCAAAATCATTTAGAATAATTTATTTTAAATAAACAACCCATGACTCATCCATCAATCAGGCAACTGTGTCCTGTCCAATCTTACTTTGAAAATCAGCGATAAACGAACCACGAAGCGAGGGACGACCGAGTTTCCTCTGCAGGGTAGCTGGACTGTCCCTTAAGACAGGGTGAGAAGTTCAGCTATTTAGGAGAGACTCGGAGTAGAACCGCTGCTCCTCCACATCGGGAGGAGCCAGTTGAGGTGGTTCAGACATCTGGTAAGGATGCTCCCTGGGCGCCTCCGTAAGGAGGTGCTTCGGGCATGTCCGACAGGGAGGACACCCCGGGGAAGACCCAGGACATGCTGGAGAGACTATGTCTCTCAGTTGGCCTGGAACGCCCTGGGGTCCTCCCAGAAGAGCTGGAAGAGGTGGCCGTGGAAAGAGATGTCTGGACCTCCCAGCTCAAGCTGCTGCCCCCGAGACCAGACTTCAGAAAAGCAGAAGATGATGGATGGATGGATGGATGGACGGATGGACCGATGGATGGATGGATGGATGGACGTATGGACGGATGGATGGATGGACGGACGGACTGTCTCCCGTGATATTTTAAACTCAAGCTTAACATGAAAGTAGCATTCCTTGAATGGCTGCATGCCTCTCATGGCCTTGCATGCCGAGATTTTAAATGAACATCTATTATAGCTCAAATAATGTGTTGTAGTTGACTCTCAGCTACTACCAAATCAAAACTGAGCTCAATATCTGTAAAAAAGGACATATTTTTGTGTTTGCTGAGGTTGATAAGATGTTGCAGCCATTTTAAATCAGATTTACTCTAAACGTTAATAAGTTCTAGATGACACTGGTACTTTCTGAACGTTTTATCTGTCTAGTGGCTCACGAGATATTTTGACTACAGACAAACACACTAACTGAATGTTTTTGTCCTGGAATCATAAGAAATAATTGTTCTCGCACACTAATAAAATTTTCAATCTTCTGACACTTCTTAAATAAGAATAAAAGTTTTCTCGGTCCCGTACTGTTTGTTGGAGCTGACGGATGCGTCTCAGGGCTGCCTGGTACGGCTGCGAGCTGGAAATGCGCCGGTGTCTCCGGTGCCTCCTCGCCTGGTTATTGAGATGCTGGATGCAGTCGTCGGCTGCCTGAGGACGGACTTTGCCCTGAGAATGACAGAAAATATATTTACTGGCTGCACATCTTAGAAAAAACTGGACTTCTGCAGAAAACAACATCTAGTTTAAAACTTCTACTCGTGAAGAAGGCGACAGAGCAGACAATACTAAGTTGTGCTTGACGTGACAGAGAGAATCAAGCTCTAAAATATTGTGAGATTACAAGTGTTCACAGGCTTTTTGTAGGTTTCTTCTACCTAAAATATCCATTCCTCTTCAGAATGTGAGAACATTTCCATCCAGGAGCAGCCAAAACAAGACATGTCGCAACATTAAAATGTCACGCGTCAAAAACATCTCATCGCACTTTGCTCCTTGCATCGTTGCCGGTGTTTCTTACAGCATTCCAAAGTCACTGAAGTCAGTTTTCCTTACATTCCTGCAGCAGAGATGTTGGCATAGGCTGTTGGGGCTTGCCTGAAGGGCTAAATGCAGGATACAGATGTTTAAGAGTAAAGAAGATATATAAATCAAGAGGAAAAGCTAAAAAAAAAGAAAAACAGCCGATACAAATAAGATGAATTTGTCACAGTTTTAATGTCCTTGTTGTAATGACACTTTTCAAAACATTTACTTGTACAAACCTAATAAATGTCCTCATGGGGGGGCCTTAATAGAGTGGTATAAAACAGGTTTGGTGGTCTTGAGTGTGTTTTAACCGATGGTCTGCTGTACAAAGTAATTCATTCCCTAACAAATCGTCTGTTTTTCCACTTCTACATGTTTCTGATCATTGAACAAATTTTTATTTTGGACAAAAATAACCCAAATCAAAACAAAAGGCAGTTTTTGAATGATTATTTAATTTATTAAAGGAAAAAGCTATTTGGACCAACCTGACTATGTAAAAATACTAATTGGATTTGCCTGAAGGCAGCCACCTATAATTATCCACGTGAAAAGGGTCTTGCTCTTCTATAAAGGTTAATATAGCCCAAACCACCATGTGTACCCCAACAAACATTGTGTCAAAACGACCGGCTCGGCACCGTGATGCGTGCTCTTACTTTTATTGACATTTTGAGTTACCATGGCAACGTAATTTGCAAACAAAAATGCTGTTTTTCGCATTGAAAAACACCGACAGAACTCTTAACAGCCTCTAACTACCACAGTGAGGTCACATGACCTAGAGTGGAGAGATCTCTGAACAAAACTGATTAAATTTTGGAGCCATTTTGGATCAAGATGGCTTCCACAGCCACTTAAGAAAACTCAAAATTGACTATAATTCAGTCATTATTTGAGATATTGAGCTGAAATTTAGTATGGTTGCAGCTGAGAGCGAGTTGTTATCCATTCCTCATGCAAATTACAAATCCAAGATGGTCACCTTAGACAGCTTAAACAGGTAGGAAGGTACTTGATGTGTCATCTGGACAGAGAACGGATGATAAGGAAACCTGGTGGTGGAATTAGTGAAGTGCAGAAAGCTGTTCAAAGAAAGAGATTAGCCAAGAAGAAATATGACAATGAAAGGACTGAAGAGAGAAGACAGGAACATAAGGAGATGGGACATAGAGCAAAGAGGGAGGTAGCTTAGGCAAAGAAGGGGCATGATGAGTTGAATGGAAGGCTGGACACTAAAGAGGGCGAGAAGGACTTATACCGACAGGCAAGACAGAGGGATCAGGCTGGAAAGGATGTGCAGCAGGTTAGGCTTATTAAAGATAGGAATGGTAATGCTCTAACAAGTGAGGAGAGTGTGATGGGAAGATGGAAGGAGTACTTTGAGGAGCTAATGAACGAAGAGAATGAAAGAGAAAGAAGAAAAGAGATAATACAAACTGGCAGTGAAGTTTTTGACTCAAATGTTAAATGGCGTTTTTGAGGGTGAGAAAATGCCTGAGGAATGGAGAAAAAGTGTGCTGGTGTTCATTTTTAAGAAGTGATGTACAGAGTTGTAGCAACTACAGGGGAATTAAGTTGATGAGCCACACGATGAAGATCAGGGAGAGAGTTCTCCATTGTGGATTTAGAAAAAGCATATGACAGGGTGGTGAGGGAGGAGGTGTGGTATTGCATGAGGAAATCTGGAGAGGCAGAGAAGTATGTTAGACTGGTACAGGACATGTATGAGGACAGCAGGACAGAGGTGAGATGTGCTGTAGGAGTGAGTGAGCTTCAAGGTGCTGGTGGGAGTGCATCAAGGATCAGCTCTGAGCCCCTTCTTGTTTGCTCTGGTGATGGACCGACTAACAGATGAGGTCAGGCAGGAATCCCGTGGACTATGATGTTTGCAGATGACGTGATCTGTGGTGAGAACAGGAAACTGGTGGAAGATAACTTGGAGAGGTGGAGGTATGCACTTGAAAGAAGAGGAAAGTCAGCCGTAGTAAGACAGAGTACAGATACAGATATTCTTTATTGTCATTCCACCACATGTGGTACATGTGGTGGAATGAAATTATGTAAACAGGGTCCCAGTTACATCCAACAACAAAATGTAAAAGAAAAACAGCAATAAGAGTCAAGATATGGACTAAGACTATGAACTAAGAAAAACATCAGCTAAAAATACGCTAAGCACTAACAGCACAAAAAGAATAAAAACAATACACGGAACAGCAGCACAAACATGGGTCTGTGTGAGCAGGTGAGCACACATGAACACAGCAACATGAAAACAGATCAGACACATGTGTGAATGAGAGGGAGGAGGTGGAGCAGTGAGGCTACAAGGAGCAGAGGCCACAAAGGTGCAGGACTTCAAGTACTTGGGTTCCACTGTCCAGGAAAACAGGTAGTGTGGTAAAGAGGTGAAGAGAGTCCAGGCAGGATGGAGTGGATGGAGAAAAGTTTCAGGAGTGATTTGAGACAAAAGGGTGTCAGCAAAGGTCAAAGGAAAAGTTTACAAGACAGTGGTGAGACCAGCTATGTTGTATGGTCTGGAGACAGAGACATGGACAACAAGACAAGAGACAGAACTGGAAGTGGCAGAAATGAAGATGTTGAGGTTCTTCTTTAGGAGTGACAAGGATGGAGAAGATTATGAATGAGATCATCAGAGGTACAGCACAAGTTGAACAACTGGGAGATAAAGTTAGAGAGGACACACTGAGATGGTTTGGACATGTCCAGAGGAGGGACAGTGGTTTGGACATGTCCAGAGGAGGGACAGTGGGTATATTGGTAGATGGAAGTTATAAATGCAGCTGCCAGAAAAAAGACAAAGAAAAGATGTATGGACACAGTTGGAGAGGACATGGAGGTAGTTGGAGTGAGGACAGAGTGAGATGGAGGAGGATGACTCACTGTGGAGACCCTGAAGAGGGAAAAGCTGAAAGAAGACTGCACATATAGATACTTGAGCCACTATGCACCAAGGTTGAACTAAATAAATTACTTTTAATAGCTCTGACATTGACTTTATAAATTACTTTTAATAGCTCTGACATTGACTTTATCAACAGAAAAGAGCACTTTAAGAGTTTCCAAGAATTTTCATGTTGCTGTTTAAACCACACAATTGTAGAGTCCACCATAAAAATAATTGACTTTTAAATCAATGTCACTGGATCAAACTGACAATCAGCTTGAACTTCAACTTTCAGTCGGTGCTAAAAACAACGTTTTCATCATAGTCCTAGATGTCAGTGGTATCACGACTATAAAAGTAAAGTGCACTTTATTTCAAACAAACCTCTTCAACAGAATAAAAAGTACTGCGGTTCATGACTGCAGTCAGAGAAAAATAACTTTTTTTCCTATAGAAGACACAATTATGGTAAAAGTCTTAGTGTCTAAAAGTGAGTCTGGGTCTGAATGTGTGTGTTTGTTTATTGCCTGTAGGAAAAAAAAAACATTTTAGTCCCTGGTTTACAAAATAAAATGTACCTTTCAGTAACGATAAGCATAAATCACGCTGCTGAGCTCACCGACAGGGAGGAGTCGCTGGGGGAGAGTCCTGTGGCATCTTCAGCCTCGTACTTGTACAAGTCAAGAGGAGCACAGAAATACCCAGACTGCACCCCTGAGCACTGTCGACCAATCAAATGCCTCCTGCAGTCACACTGCCCACTGTCCATCATGCACCTGGAGAGTCAGAAAAAAAAAAAGCTGTAAAAATGTTTCTTTTCTTAGTTTTGCACAAAAAAAAAGGCAATTACTGATGGTGTCAACATTATTTGTCTGTTAGCAAAATATCTCATGCACCAAAAGACAATTTGAATGAAACTCTCAAAGTATGTTTCTCTTCTTCAGGGGTCGCCACAGCGAACCAAGTTGCACGAAAACTTGGCATTTATTTATTTTTACACCAGATGTTCTTCCTGACGCAACCACAGACCACCGAGCTGCTGTCTGGGGCACCCGGGGGAGCAGAGAGTGGGGGTTACGGGCCTTGCTCAAGGACCCTGAGTGGGGCAAATGAGGGTGGAGACAGGTTTGGATGCTTCATCTTTCCCACCCACATTTTTGATGTTGTTGGTACAGGGAGTTGAACCGGTGACTTCTGATCACAGGACCACCTTATCTAACCTCTGCGCCACCACTCCCCTAAGTACTCCCCTCAAAATAAGATTGGACATGACACACAATTGGCTGATTGATGGATGAGCCACATGATTGGCATGGATTTTTTTTTTTAATGAATTATCTTAAATTATTTATCACGTGAACCTTTGTGCAGCCCACACTGCAGGATAAACTTCCTGCTGCAGCTGATCAGCTGTTCACCATGTGGAGCGGAGAAGTGGGCGTGGCCAAGAGCGCTTGCAGGTGGAACAGATCAGCTGAGGCAGAGGGAGCTGAAATCATGACATGCTGTGCTCTTTTAGAGCATACATATATATTTCAGGGTACGGATCCCCCGCGATAAACGAGGGACTACTGTATTTACAGCTGATTGACTTTTTTGAGTCATCTCAATATAAGATGGCCACCACAGCCAACTAAGAAGAGCCAACACAAAAATGACTAACTCAGTCAGTTTTTCAGAGATTGAGTTAAAATTTGGGATCATGGTAGCTGGAAGTGATTCATAACAGAGAGATCTCAAATTGTGCATGACATCATTTGCAAGGTTTGACCAAAACAAATGTAACTCTGTTCCGTCTCAGCATAAAATGATCTTAGTGTAAAACTCTGACAAGAGATGAGCAATATGCATTCTTTCAAAGCATGCTCGGCCTATATTTTTATTTTTTAAACCGTCTGTGTTTTTACCTGTTGTTGTGGGCTCCACCAAAGTCACAGTCACAAGGTCTACAGCCCCCCAGGTCATTACTGATCCCCCAGTATTCAGGCTACAGGGAAGGAAACCAGCTTTTAAAACCAGGATGCACAATAACACATTACTATGAAGTGCTTCTAAGATATTTAACCTTGAATAAATGGTTGATGGAAAAAAATATCCTTTCACTTTAAAGTCTGAGTTGCTACCTTTACAATGAGAGGGCAAGGCAGTTCAGGTTTAAGAATTTGACAACAGATCTACCTAAACGAAGTTAGATCTGAGCTCATCAGAGCCCTCGGTTGCCATAAAGCTTTGACATAAAAATGTGAATGAGGAGAAAAGTTACTAACCAGACACTGGTTGCAGTGACGACCTGTGACGTATCTTTTACAGGAGCAGTCTCCGCTGATCTGATCACAAGGAGCGTCCGTCATAATGATGCCACGAGGATCACAATTACAAGCTGATGCAGAAACACATAAACTGAGTTTAGCCGGTTGCTTCTAAAGCCAGAAATATAATTTGATTCAAGATGAACGAAGAGCAAGCACCGATACGTACCCTGGCAGCCGAGTGGGTCGCTCTGGCTGAGTCCGTAATAGCCCGTCTTGCAGCTGTCGCAGCGCATGCCTTTTACATTTACTTTGCAGCGACACTGTCCACTGAGCATCCCCATGTTCAGGTCAGTGTGGCTGTCACAGACACCCCCCTCTAACGATCCCACCGGGTCACAGTCACAGGCTGCAGATACAAACATTTACTCAGATTTAGTTTATACTCGGGCTGCACAATGAATCACAATACCAATGTGCACAATGTCAGCCTTTCTGATTGGACTGCAATAAAACATCCCACCACAAAGATCATAAAAATATCATTTTAGGGTTTGTGTAAGTAAATATCTGTCCACTCAGACGGACCGTCAGTACTCAGGAGGCCGTCGTTCTTCCAGGAGTGTTTCTTAATGCAGTGATGACAGAAAAGAGGAGAGAAGAAAATGTGGGTTTATCAAAACTGGTGTCATTTAGAGATGCACCGATCCGATACCAATATCGCTATCGGTACAGATATCACCGATCCG